CAATGTCACAAGAAAGATTGAATGGATTGGCTATGCTATCAATAGAGAAAGATATGGTTGCACAAGTAAATTATTCAGATTTGATTAATGTTTTTGCCGCTAAAACAATAAGACGAATAGTATTTAACTGATTGTTTGAACTCTTTTCGGTTTTGTTACTTTATAATATAAATCTTTGTTCTCTATATTTGTTTGTTGTTCTATTGTTCAGTGTCAAGTTAGCAATACGTTGCATAATACACTGTTGAATTTTGCATTTACGTTGATTTAAAGGGCCCAATTTTGGGAGTTCGCCTCTAGCCCCGAAAATCACAGGACCGGCCTTGTATAAGAAATGCTATCTGTGGCTAAGGAACTCCAATCAAAGAATGAGTTAATTGCACCAGCAGTTGCTAATCTGTCACTTGCAGCCAAAAAATCCCTTCAAGGAACATGCAAGGAGTCTTTCCAGTCCGTAATTGATATGCTTCAGGAGGGACAAGTAGCTCTTGCAGCTGGTGACATTGCCACATTGCAAACTAAATTAAGCGCGGCTTTAGATACCGAGTGTGATGATGAACTTTCTAACTTTGGTGCTACGTTCCCTCTAGCCAATCTGTCTAAGCATCTTACAAAGAAAGTGTGTGTCTGCCTGGCTATAACGGCACAAAATGTGGTTGCATAAACATTGAACTTGTGGTATGCATGTACTGCAGATTTTGCACTGTGAATGAAGTGTAGAAAAAAATTTAAAGCCTCATCATTTATCTCAATATTTATTTTTTAATTTAGTGAAGTGTTTCTTGTGAGTATTTTGTGTAATATGTACGGAAGTAATTAATTTCTTTTTGATAAAAACTTTATAATCTTTTTGTATTTCATAATCACCTACACATAAAAATTATTTTATAACTAACAGGGATTAACTCTATTATTTCAATCGAACATTACAAAACAATTGAAATTAAGGATTAGAAGATTTTTATTTATTTTGTTGCATTTTCTTGATACCCAAGCTTTTTTAAATATTTTTTGTAATCCAAGCTATTTTACGTTATTTACATCATTGGCTAATAAAGTAATAGAAAATAGTCATGAAATTTTAGGTCGTTATAAAATGTAGGGCGTTTTAAGATTACTGAAAATGTTTTTGGTTTATCATTTTGAAATATTATTTTTTTGAAATAGAAAATTAGAAAACATACCTAATTTGAAATTTTGAAAATTTATTTTAGGACTTTTTATTCCACAAAATTTGATTATTCAATAAAAATAAAATAATTTTATATTAATATATTATCAAGTAATATTTACATTTTAAGATTGGTGAATCTTACAATATTTTTTTTATTTTTTTGCTACAAAAGTAAAATAAAAATAAATAAATAAATTAAGTTCCAAATGAAGGAAATAAAAATAAAAATTAATGACGTGAACTGAAATTTTTTTTAATGTGTATTTCTTTAAACATTTTTTAAGAATTTTCATGCAAATAATCATTAAGAGCTTGGACCATTTTTATTTTTCTAAAAATTCTTATTATTTTGTTTTCTCAGAATTTTTAATTTTGAACTTTTATATATATTTTTTAGAATTTAATTTCTGTTTATCATTTTTAGATTCAATTTTATTTTTAAAACTTTTTTTTTGAATTTTTGAATTTTATTTGTCAGAATTTTTATATTTTTATTTTCTAAGATTTTTAATTTTTGAAATTTTATTTGAAAGCGTGTTTTCTATATTTTGAGTGTTTTTAGAATTTTCACTGAAAATGCTAAAAATGTCAAAAATGCATTTTTAGTTTTATGTTATAAGTTTATTATTATTTTTGAAAATGAATTTTGAGACAAATCCCTACTCTTAACACGTTTTCAGTATGTTGCGAAATTAAAAACTGAAAATCGCTTGAAAATTGCAAATTAAACGCAACCTAACATTTTGAAGGTGCACCACTTTTATAAAACTTTGACCAAATTGCCCTTTTTGAATTTTTGGATTAAAATGCACTTAAATGAAAAAGGTTTTCAATGTAAATCCCATCTTCGAAATGGGTTCCTTCTCTCTTCATTTGTTAAAAATTAACTTTATGAAATTGGGGTTCCGGCCCGTTTGACTCCGAATATGGAGGTTAATCTAATTTTGTAGTGCTTTTCTTAGTTTTTGGAGGTTTACGTTAAATTCGTGTGTGTTGGTTTATGAAACATTTTTAACTTTTAGGATTTCTATAGATTTTCATGTTATAGTGTAATTTTTTTTTATTTTTTTGTGAAACTTAGTTTCAAAACATGATTTTATTATGAAATGGGATGCCTCTATTTTTTTGTGAACTTTTGTTTACCGTGTTGGATTACGTGTGTAGAATAAAATGTGGGCAGTTTTGTGACACATTTGGGCAATGTAGATATGTTTGTTGATAATCATAAACTTTAATTGTATTCCAATAAGAGCAATCAATTCAAAGAAAGAAAAATAAACACTCAACAACACGCGAGAATTATAGAGGTTAATCTCAATGTGAGACTACGTCATCTCCCATCGATGCAATAATTCACACTCCTATCTTCGCTAGCTGTTCTTTCTCTCTTTTTGATGATAATTATAAGCATAAACATGGCTCACTATTTATAAGATAAATTAAGATGAAACCGAATTTTTAAAAAATTCCAATTCCTTAATAGAATTTTATAAGAATACAAATTTCTAAACAGCCCTTAATTAGGATAAAAAATAAATTTGGCTCCACAACTTAAAAATCTCCCACTTGGGGACTAATTCATCATCAATGACTCCTCTACAGCTGCAACAACTCCTCATTGCTCAAAAGATAAGTCCAATTGAAGTTGCATACAACTTCAGTTTCTTGATCGAAACAATTTTCGTTAATATGTCAACTAAATTTTGACCCCCCTTAACCTTTTTAAGTGTTAAGATTCCATCCTCAAAATTCGATATGATAAAATGATAATGAACTTGTATATGCTTTGTTCTTGCATGATAAATAGAAATTTATGCTAACTGAATCGCGCTATGACTGTGACAATACAATGCAATATTCCCATACTTGTGATCAATTCTTCTAAAAAATGACTGCAATTATATCATCTCTTTGCTAGCTTTTGTTATAGCGACATACTTTGCCTCAATAGTGAAAAGAGCAACTATCTTATGTAACTTAGATACCTAACTAACAAATGTACCACTCAAAGTGTATATACATCTAATAGTACTCTTCCAGCCATCAATATCTCTTACCTGCCAGTGTCTACATAGCCCTACAATTTCAAACCTAATTTTCTGAAACATAAGGCTAAATCTAAAATACCTTTCAAGTATATGAGAATCCGTTTTACTGCCTCCCAAAGCTATTTGCCTGGATTGGTAATACATCTACTCATAACTCTCACTACATGTGTTATGTTCGGTCTTGTACACAGCATAGCTTATATAAGACTGCCAATAGCAGAGACATAAGGCACCTTGGCCATGTAGGCTAGATCCTGTTCTGTAGAGGGTGACTACTCATTTCATAGCTTGAAGTGACTAGCCAGATGAGTACTAACTGATTTTGCATCACTCGTGATGAATCTTTTTAACACCTTATTCACATACTCTTCCTTTGACAATTTTAAGATGTCATTGTCCCTAGTAATTCTCATCCCAATGATTTGTTTTGCAACACCCAATTCCTTCATTGCAAACTCCTTAGATAGCTTCTTTTACAACTTATCTGTGTCTTGCTTCCAAATACCTGCAATCAACATGTCATCAACGTACAGCAACAAGATAATATAGGCGTTACCAATGTTCTTTACATAACAACAATGATCCCCCTGACACCTTTTGAACCCATTACTACTCATAAGATTATCAAACTTTGTATACCACTATGTTGGAGTTTGTTTAAGACCATATAAACTCTTTTCAAGACTGCACACCATTTTCTCATTTCCCTGCACTTCAAACACTTGTGCTTGAATCATGTAAATTTCTTTCTTCAAATCACCATGAAGAAAGGGTGTCGTTACATCCAACTGCTCTAGGTGCAAGTCTTCATTTACAACTAATCCAAATGCTGTTCTAATTGTGGTTTATTTAACCACATGAGAGAAAATCTCAGTATAGTCAATATCTTCTTTTTGTTGAAATCCCTTTACAACAAGTCTTGCTTTATATCACTTGCTTCCGTTATGTTCTTCTTTTAATCGGTAAACTTATTTATTCTGCAAAGCTTTATTTCCTTTTGGTAACTCTATCAATTATCATGTCTGATTGGACAATAAGAAGTCAATCTCATCCATCATGGCTGACTCCCACTTGATTGATTCATCAACCTATATAGTTTCATCATAACTTTCTGGTTTACCTCTATTAGTCAATAGAATATAATTCAATGCTCGAGATTATCTTTATGGAGGTTGAATAGTTCTGCTAGATCTTCTTCGTTCAGTCATAGGATTGTTATTATGTACTTCTGGAGCTATATTTTCTCAATTTTTATCATCAGCATTCTAACTCAATCATTGAAAGATCTTTTAATGGGATCACCTTAGATTTCTTAACTTCTGGACCTAAGTTTTAAGGTCTGATCCCAACCTAACCTTATACAAGAAACTTTCATTAAAGATTACAGACACTTTCATTAAAGATTACATTCTTGCTCCTAATAACTTTCGATTTTTATCATCCCATAAACAACAACCAAACTTGTTATCACCATACACAAAAAAAAAAAAAAAAATATTTATATTTAGCATCAAATTTGCTTTTTGCAGAAGTATCAATGTGAATGTATGAAATACAACCAAACACTTTCAAGTGTGAAAATTTTACCTCTTTTTATTGCTCCGAACCTCCTCTATATTCTGTAATTCAACGGTGTTGAAGGACCTCTATTGATCACATAAGTTGCATTGCTGATAGCCTTAACATAGAATATCTTTGGCAACCCAGCATGTAATCTCATACATCCAGAACTCTCATTTATAGTCCTATTCATCATCTCAACCTTATCGTTTTGTTGAGGTCTTCCTGGAATGGCTTTTTTCATCTAGATTCCTTTATAGAGGCTCGTCTCAATATGAGATTACGTTCCCTCCTGCAGCTACAGTAATTCACTCTGATGAAAAAATGTTTACAAAAGAAAATCACACTCATATCTTCACTCTCTCTCTCTCTCTCTCTCTCTCTCTCTGTGATAATAATTATAAAGCCTAACCATGGCTTTAATGTAAGAAAACCAGGTTGTAAACGTGTAGACAATTTGATTTGGACTAGTTTCCATGCGTCCATGCAATTGTTGCAGTAAGGAACTATCACAATGTATACTTTCCCTATTATACCTATTCTTCTTGAAAAGAAGCATATTCTAAATTCATATACCCTTCGTCAAATGAGGTTCGATGGAAGCTGCTAGAGCATGTTAGCTGAAGAGAGGTCTTGCACCCATTGACTAACGACTCCGAGGACGTGTAAAGTCCAGGTTTTCGATAATTTTTATAAATTCCTTTGAGATATTTAGGAATTTTTAATAAAGTTTAGGGGTTTGGTACTACTTTTGAAAATGAAAAGGATAAGGTGATGAAAGTGAGATTTAGTTACATACTCATATAAAGACAATGGGCAATGTGGATAGGAATGATTAGTGAATGGACACCAATATGGATAGTTATGAATAATCAAGGCTAA